ACACATACACACACATACACATACACACACACACTGTATGGCATATTGTTAGGGCTCCTGACAAAGCTAATGAAGCCTTTTGAAAGCAGTATTGGTTTGGCCCTGGTTGGACTGTTCCAGTTCCAGTGAGACAGTGTGTTTAGTAACAGCAGCAGATCCACAGTGGCTGCAGGCAGCATCCTGTTAAGTCTGCTACCTTCTTTCACAAGCTGCCCATTCGTCACCGTGTGTCAGCCCGAGCTCACGTCACCGGTGACCCCATCAATTCGCTTAATCGATTTATGCACATTAGGAAGTACCACACTTGGGAGGCTAATCTAGTCCAAACCTCGCCCCTCCCCCTTCATGTTTCGGAGTACTACCTGTTCAGGTGGGTCCAGTCAGAGTCCGCGGGTGAGACTACAGGGAGGCACAGACGTGAGAAGGTGAATGGAAACACAAGGTGGAGGAAATGTCCTTGTAGTTTAGGTCTACAGCCTCGATGACATGACTACCACAGCTACAACTAACGGTGCTCGTTACTGCAGCTATGACCGGGGGGGTGCTCGTTAACTAAAGGGAAGGCATGTCAGCCGGGTTGCTTGTTTCAGTTACCTGAGTGCCTCTTCCTCGTTTTTGTGTCATAAAACAATCCCAGAAACTAAGCAGCTGAGGCGGCTTAAATCCTAGTGGTTCATTTCGGCTCCCCGAGGCCAGCTAACGCAGCCGCTACCGCAACGCTAACGGGAGGCGAAAGGGGTCAATAAAAGGCGGGACGTTATTTAAAGGGGGGGGGTTGTGACGACGATGACACGACACGGACAAACTCACCCACTGGACCCTCTTTATGTTTCGACGAGCGTCTTCCATTCACACTTTTCTCAAATCTGCTACTCCCACCACTCTTCTTGTTCGACGCCATCTTCGCCCACTCTGTTTACGCACCGCCTCTCACAGCTCTTCTATACATACCTGCCTGGGAGAGCCGAGGCCCCGCCCACGCCAAACTACGAGAGCCAATGAATGAGTGCGTCGCGGTCCAGTAGCCAATCACGACGCTCGAATGCCAATAAGTGTCCGCCCCCTATTGCCTTTGTTTTGCAAAGGAAAAAAGTGAGCTCTTAGTCCATTCAGTACAGATTAGAGCAGTGTTTTTTCTACCATGAAGCACACAGATGACCCCTGATTAAGTTGTTTTTTTATGGATAGTTCTTATTATATTCAATGCATAACAACAACAGTGCAGAACAGCTCACACACTGTACAATTAATCCAAATAGTGAACGCAATAACTGCAGGAAGACGTGTGAATATTGATCAGAGATGAGTTTTCCTCATCATTTTACAAACTCTTTATACTATTCTGTCTGTATTATGTATTTTCTTTATTTTTAACAACCATACATACTTAATAGGCTTCTTTTTTTGACAAATTTAGTCACTTGGGCATTGTTGACCAATGTTGAGCACAGAGTAAAAGTTCTATGAAGATAGCTGGTGTTCAGGTATTCAAAGGTTAGATCTTAAATAAAAGTCTAAACTTAAAAAATAACAATTTTATTTAGTTTTCTTCACAGAAATGGTCCAAATGCTGAGATATACCTACTGTGTATATTTTTTAAGTCGCCCCCCCCTCCGTGATGCTGTGGCAACTTTATTGGGGGTCCCCAGGTTGTGTTTTTCAGATAATTTATAGAGGAATTTGTAAGATTTCTTTTCTACAACTTTATTCTTTGAGTACTCATAGAAATGGCAGAAAGCAAATACACTGTGACACACAGTCAAGTCATTCCGTAAAATGCAATGCAATTATTCACATAGATTCTAAACAAACATTCAAGAAGCTGATAAAACAATCACCAGTCAAGTCCACCTATGAGCTTTCAGTCACATTACACAATCTTAAAAAAATATGCAGTTTGCTGGTTGTTATAAACTTGTTAAACACGTTTCAACATTTTCTGAGCACTTAAAGGACTTTCCATCCATTTTGGTTTAAAAGCAGTTTTTGCCTAATTCCATGAATATGGAGGTTAATGCCTTATGTTTGAAAGCTACTGTTGAGGACACAGAAGTTTCCATTTTATTATTTATCATTATTTCCATTATTATTAAATATAGATATCATTATTGTCAGTGTCCATACATTTGACAAAGAAAAAAATAATTTTGGAGTAGGCTTAACTGCTTTTAAATGTACAAAAAGATAATAAGATGATACAGCTGATTGTATCAAACATAGAAAAGAGGTATCTTCAAAATTATCTGGAGTGGATCTGGAGTTCTTGGACTTCTGACCTCAGTGTTTCTACACTCCTGTCTACGCCCTTGACGGCATGGACCTTGTGGTGAGACTGTTTTGTCAACTGCTACAAGCTCAAAATGTTCAATCTCAAATTAAAGAAGCTGATTAAACAATATGTTGTCAGATGCTAAAACTGTAATTGCAGGCTATGTACAACACTTCGAATTCCAATGTGTGTGGTAAAGAAATAACCTGATATTCAGATATCACACGCTTCAGCTATTAAAACACTCCCTTTTTTTCTTCCCTTATCTTTTCTCTTTCCTTCAGGGTTTCTCCAGCTGGATCTCCTCCTCTTCCTCAATAATGTTGCACACATCCTGGTACGGGCCATGTCCCTGGGAACGTTCGATCTGATCATATGTGGTGCAACAATCGTCCAGATTTAGCCCCTGACATATGAGATAAGAAAGATAGAAGAAAACACACAAAAATCAATTCAACATATTCATGATAAATTGATTTGTGGCACAAGATCACATGTTCATTCGTATATTTTAGTTTCTGCTTTCAACAAAGAGACTTGCACAAGTTCGTCATGTCTGACGTGACATGTAGCTTATCTGACTCAGAGAGGAGGTGACTTATTTAAAGTTCACCTGATATATGTTTTCCTCCTCCTTCATCGATTTCTTCCTTTCCAGTTCCTTAAGTTTCTTTGACTGCGAGGGGAAAGCAGAAGTTGGTAAAACTGTGAAATGGTGCAACTTCCCATTGGAGGAAAGTCAAGAAACACAATGAAAATAACCATTTAAGAAACTTATAGGTGTAGGTGGTTGGAACAGTCAAAGTAGGCTTACAGATTGCAATAATGTCTGGTGTGTTCACATGAGTGATAAGGCAATACCACTATTGAGACATTTTGGAAAGTAACCATCACTTCAACATTAATGCTATGGGTCAGGGGTAGTTGACAGATGTGTGTATGGTAATGTACAGTCAGTCACAATAAGGGGACATTCTGACCTGGCGGAGAAGGGTGACGGAAGGCAGAAGCACACACAGCAACAGTAAGATTCCCTCAGCTGTCAGGATCTTGTTTTTGGTGTTTTCGCTGAGGTTTATTGCCTTCTTCATCGGTTCTAGGCACACAGAGAAGGTTCAGAGGTGAAACAGTAAGTGCCTTTAGGTATTTGCATACAAGTACTTGTTTCCGTAGCAAGTGGAAGTGCATATTTAAAAGACGTAGCAGTGTTTAAAAAAGAATCAGGCTAACTAAATAATTACTTAACAGACTTACTTGGAGATTTAGTACGAGATAGACTGTTTTCTTATATAACTGTACCATTTAGTATAAAAAACACAGACTAACATGTAAAATACATGGATAAACAATTGATAGTATTGTTATTGGTTAGGCTTACGGTGTTCTTGTAAACTAATGCAGGTTATCTCACACATAATCCACAGAGGAGTTTAGTGATTGTTTTACATTTCCACACCTGCCACCTGTATTTAATGAGATTAGGATGCAAAATGGCATTTCAGTGTTCCTCTGCACAGTAGCTTGATTGCAACTTGATCTAATCTTGGTGCAATTTAAAGAAATGAACTGGGCAGCAGACTGTAATGAGACCACCCTGATGATGTAAAGATTAACTAAGCTGCGATATGCAAGGATGCTGCCTCTGACACAGCTCTTGGGTAGACTGAGGTTAACAGGATTTATGGCTTATGGGGTGTTAGCAGTGCTTAGAGCTCACTTGACTCCATCTCTCTCTGTTAAACACACACACTCCCACTAGCATTTCGGACTGGTCTGGACTTCCCACCACCACATACACATAAATACTCACTGTAGACCTGCAGGTAGGTGCCATGTGTGTACATACTCTTGCTCTTTAGCCAACACTGGTACAGTCCACTGTCATTCAGCTGGAGTGTCTTGAAGGTTAGGGTGTAACAGACTCTTTTGTCCTTCTTTCTTCTCATAGATTCTTCAGTCAGAGCTGTAGAATTCGCAACTGGTTTAGGGGGGTGTTTGCCTTTAACTCCAAAGACTTTGACCCAAATTGATGGCACTTCCTCATCAACGTTGACGTAGCAGCACTCCATGGACACTGAGGCACCGAGTTCCTTGCGTTCAAATGGCTTGTCCGCCTCTAATTTCACGCCATCCCTAGCGAACACTACTGTGGGGCAACCAACAATTAAAGCATGTTGTTATACATGTGTTCGTTAAAATTAAATCAAATTATTTAATTATGATTACATATATTATAAGCATAACTTATATTTACAATGGACGTAGAGCAAAAAATGTAACACGATAACACAGCCATCTGCTTTGACAGGAGATGTGGTTCACTGAACCAGAACTCAAGAGTTAAATGTAAAAAAAAAGAAGTTATATAGAGTACATACTTATACTTAGTTTCACAGACATGTAGAAATGCCCATTTCCCACAAAACCCAGAGGATAATTGCATCTACACAAATATAAACACTGATATAGTATATGTATATATTATATAATGAGTATTTTGGATTTATTATATCTTAAAATAAACTGATCTAACTCACCAACAAAGCTGCAGAGGAGAACGTTTGTAAGAGTCCCCATAGCGTTTTCAAATGTTTAATCCAGAGATCAAAATGTACTGAAGTAATGCAGATTCAGTTATACAACCCTGGTCCCAGTCTTCACTGTTTGTGTACTAAGACTATGGTGTCTTGCTTGTCTCTCAGTCAGGATTTACGCTTGAATGAATTTGGAACATCCCACATTTGCATAAAAGTTATATCTGCATGCATTTAGACAATATATTATACATTAACTTCTGCATAAAGCATATTATTATTTTATGAGTGCAGCCATAATTTTTAATATTTCATATATCTCTATATATATATATAATCTTTGAACCCTGTATTTATATGTACCAATAAACAGAACTAAACTTAAACCCCAAACCTTTAGCTTACAACTTGTTTTGAAGTATATATATTAGTATCATAACTATATAAAATGACAAAACAGGAATTTATTTCCCCAATTTATTTAAAAAATGAAGAATTAAAAAACAGAACGTACCACAATTTTCCTGAAGTATACATCATTAAAGAGCCTTTTACACAATAAAAATCAAAAGCCAAATACACAGTATAGTTCTTGCATATTCGTTGTTTATAGACAGACAAGATGGCAGATGCCTGTATGACAAGGAGCAGTTGTCTTTTCTATACAGGGCACTGGCTGACTGAGTTGGTGAAGGGCTCAAATCCTGTTGCTGTAATGGAGGCTGACATGAAAAACAGAATCCTGGGAAGATCGCTCAATGCTTATTAATGATTTGGACATTGTCTCTCACTCTCAGAGGTCAATTTCACATTCCCCCATTAAAGACAGCCAAAACCGAACAACAGTGATTGTGTTCAGACTCAAGAGCCCTTTATGAAGAAAACAACTGGATCGTCAGAACAAGGCACCACTCTATAAATACATTTTCTTTACATCTAGGTATTTATATATAGAATGCATGAAGAAAATGCATCTGGAAGAGAGAGAGAGAGAGAGAGCAAGAAGTGCCTGTAGTAGTCGTTCAGCCTGTGAGTGAAGGCCTCACTGTAAGCTGGTATTAACTGGGTTTCACCTGCTGACCACTGCAATTTGACAGTTTTAAAAATCCCTGGTCGGGATGATCTGTTTAAATTATCCCATTGGATAGCTGGATAGCCACAGTGCAGAGTGGGTTTTACACTGTAATGTGCCCAACAAAAAACTTCATGGTTACAGCATTTGCATAATAGTTAAAATTCGTTCATGCATAGACAAGTTACAGACAAGTCCTGTCTCTCTCACTTTTATAGCCAAATGCATAGTACACAATTACAAAAACGTGTTTGAAAAACAATGAAAAACAGTAACATAAAACCTCCCCAACCCGTTTAAGTAAATCAATTGAAATACACAACAACATATGGTAAAACTGTGCAGTAGGAAAAGGTGATCATGCTATCACAAGTGAGGGTTTATCAAGGTGTATGTCGCTAATTAGCTTAATAAACACAAAAAGGGCGCGGGGGGGTTATGCTTTTTCTACAATTTTTTCTTTCAAGCTGACATGTATGTACAATTTCTAAGAGGAAGACATGGGGAGAGATAGCAGTGAGGTTCAAACACAAACATACAGAATTTAGCAACTTGTCACTAAAGGAAACCATCATTTGCATAATTACATACGTAGGTTCAGTAGGGTCAAAGGGGGTAAGTTTGTTGTTGTGGCAGCAACGATGAGAATGCATATCAGGAAGTGATCATGGTTACAGTACTGGTGAGAGCGACGTTGGAATGAGACTGCAGTCTTCCTTCCTCTAAATCTTCAATGTTTCCTTTGTATCCCCGTCTGGCTTCACGGTCTTGTTTCCTTGTCCTTTTCTGGAACAGGTCCCATGTGTTCAATTTCTTTATCCAGGTCAGAACAGTACAGCTTGTGGCAGTCACATCGGCTTTTACTTACACTTATTGACCCAAACAGACTCTGAAGACAACTTTTTCATTATTTTTTTTTTTTGCTGAGCTACAGATTGGGTTTGAACATAAGGCTAGGGCAGTCTGACATTCTTCAATCCTGTATTTACTTGCACATTTACTAAAGAGTAAAAAAAAAAGAAGATTATTATTGGTTACCGATGCTTCATTCTTCTATGTGCTTTGGAAATCCCTTCACTTAAGTTGCCACAGTTTGGGGAGAGGAAAAGCAGCTGCTGACTGACTGCACTACTGAGCCATCATTCCTGCATCAGCATTAAGTGACATGTTACTATACAGATGAAGCACGGCATTAAGAAAATTACAGCTCGTATGAGGATCTAACGGTGCTTTGTTATGTCTTTGGTCCTGTGTGCACGGCCACAGTTATGCCACTACTCAGAAATGACATCATCATAATTATAATTACAATCAACTGCTGAATAAAATACAAATATGAGCTCAATTTTGATACAAATATTGCTACCAAGGAAGAATCTTTTACTAATAACATGTGAATGTAACATATAATACAATTTATAACCCCATTTGGTGACACTGGCACTGAACCTCCTTTGTGAACACTTCTGTAGCACTGGGCTTTGAGTTTGTAAATTTATGTGAGTGTGTGTGTGTGTGTGTGTGTGTGAGGGAGTGGGTGTCTACATTTTTCTTCAGTAAAGCTCAAAAGAGCTCAAATCCTAATCTCATGTTTTCTACACATCGTCTCATGACCGCCTGGTTCAAGCTGGCTTCAAACAAACCAAAGCAACAACAACAACGACCTCTAAACTCACTCTCCATCCCTACATCTCTCTTCATTCTCTACCTTGATCTTTCTACACATTCTAGGTTTTGCCTTCTTAAGATTTTTTTTTTCTCTACATTGCTCTATCTTGTTTGTTTTTTGGGGGTGGGGACCCAGTGCTGTAACAGTTTCACTCAGGTGAGGCAACTCACTGATCCAACAGAACTTGGAGGAATAAATAAAAGTGGTAAATACAGTCTCCATTATTAACAGCATGATTACCTATAGTGCCACTATTTATAAATGTTTCTATGTGCTGTAATGACAGTAAGAACCTTCCAAACAAGCACGTCCTTAATTAAAAACTTAACTTACTTGTAACACACATACACACACTTTCTTGCATGCAATCTTTTTAATAATGAGGGCTGCCTACATGAAGCCCGACTGCTCAAAAACTGTACTAAATAGAGAGTAAACATAATAAATTTTGCAAAAACAGTGTGGGTTCAACTTGTTTTGATTACAAAAAAAGTGCATCTCTGTGGTACTTTGGCATAGACTAGAAATAACACTATATATCAGCAGTAGTATATCAATACATCTTCAAACGCTACATTGGCCCCTTAAGGCTTCCACCTGAATATAGCTAACTTGGCAGGCAAACATAGGATTTCTCTTTTACTGTACATCTGCTAATCTGCTATTTGCAATAATGTAAATTATTTTCTAGCGTGCATGTCTCTGGTGTGCGTATGTGTGTTACAGCAGATCGCAATTACTATATTTTGTTAGGCAGCATCTCTCTCACAGCAAAATATTGCTTCATTTTTTTTTTGGCACCTCTCCGCAAAATCAACCTCCCACTCAAAAGTAGGATGTTCCGTTTTTGTCTTTTTTTCTTTGTATACCTCTCTACCAAGCACGCACACAAACATATACACATGCACACACCTCCCATGTTCCATCACTGAACCAATGCACTTTGCATAAAGCCCCCCTAATGCAGCAAGGGTCCAGGCGTGAGGGTTTAGGAAGTTCCAGGGAAGCCTCTGAAAGTAACTCTTGCACTCCAAACCAGCACCAGTAAAAATCTAAACAGGGAAAACAGGAGGGAAAGTTTGAATGTGAGAAAACATCATGTAAAGATAATAAGACTGATGATGAAAAAGGTCATAATGTGACCATCAAGTTTCTATCAAGTGAACTAAACATGCAGGTTTAGTGCATTAATAATCCAGAAATGTACATAGTATTACAATTATTATCATCACACTATTATATATTTGTTTTATCTGTTCTGTTTGTGTATTTAACCCTCTTTATCGTAATTTATTGTTGGGTATTTTATTCTGTTTCACTCTCTGCACTTTTTTTCGTGGTCTGAATTTCTTTAAATTAGTGTAAACCATGTAAAGCACTTTGTAACTGTTTGGAAATGTTTTAGAAATAATAGCAACAACAGCTATTATTATTAATATTAATATTGTGTATTCGCAATTCTAAAACTTGATTATGAATGACGATACTCATTCAGATACTTAAACTTTATTTATACTTGAGCATCAATTTCAATTTCCAGTTCAGTGTTCTCACCTAGTGGCCAGTAGGTGGCGTGATGGTGTCTCACTGGAAGTTACCCCCCTCCAGTGAGAACTTGGAAAGGGCCTCCTGCAGCCTGTGGTGCTCTTCTTCTATAGTCTGCAACACACAAAATCAATATCACCTTAGGAACGGAGGACGGACACTCACATCCCCACCCGCTCGTTCTCTCACACACACACACACA